ATAAAATCAAAATGATATTTTGGAATATTATGAGTCATTTTTAACTTTTCAGTATTTAGTAAGTATTACTCCATCTCTTCTCCAATAGATGTCTACATAGGGTTTGACACAAGTTTTAAGAGAAAAGTAATATGGGCAATGTAAAAGGTGTAGTGCGTGACTAGTGTTTAAACGAAAAAGTAGGAAAAATACTGGTGGACGTAGCTCAACGGGTAGCGAGGGAGTGCCACAAGGGTTAGGTCCCGGGTTCGACTCCCGTCAACTGTGAGGAGAGGTTACTCAATAGAGGGCTTCTGCAAGTTGCCAAGTATCGAAGACGGAGCCCCACTCTCTGTCTATCAGATTGTGATTTTTAGTCCAATTTATATCCTCCCATCGTGTCGTCCGGTCGGTGTTGGGGGGGCCAGGGATGAGGTGTCATCCCTTTTTTTAAAAAAGTAGGAAAAAATGAGGGTATATAGATATATTTATTGGAAAAACTTTCTAAAAATATAAAGGGAGACATGTTTTTTTTACCCCGGAAGGCAAACCACCCATCGGTGGGGCAAATGACAGGGAACATTTGCCGGTGTTTTATTAAAAAGATTGAACTACAAAAAAAAGAGGGGGACCAAACCAAAACCTCCCTTAAGCTAAAATTGGGACAAAACTAGAAGCATTGGGGGGGCTAGACCTGACCCAATAGAAAATAAAAGCATTTGGAAGAAAATACCAAATAAAAGTAAAAGAGCAAAAATAGATAAGATGACAAACTGAAAAACACCTGCGGACAACAATTCCAATTAGGCAACCCTAATACTCGGATATTCTAGTCTGTCTAGCTGAATCGCCCCTTGAATTGTAAAAGGAAGATCCTCCAACCGAGTGAAGAAGATGGAGCCACGAGACATCAAAGAGAATTGGGCCAAAAGATGCGCGACATTGTTAGCCTCTCTATAGCAGTGGGAGAAGGTGAAATTCAGGCGCTTGGCGATGCTTCTAATCGGACCCGCGAGGTAGCTGAACCGGGTGTCTTTCTCTTGACTGAGGATAGCAATGGAGGATAAAGAATCAGATTCAATTTCTACCTCAGAGTAACCGATAGTATACAGCCAATGAACACCAACGAAAATAGCAGCCATTTCAGCCTCCAATACGGAGTGCACCGAGAGGGGGAATACGCCACCAAAAATGAAATTACCTATACCGTCTCTTAGAACTGCAACTCCAGAAGAAGAATTACCAGTAAAAGCAGCATCAAAATTCATCTTAAAGGTATCTTTTGGCTTCTTCCAGTTTATTTTTAGAAAGTTAGGAGTGGAACTTCTTTTATGAGTAGAAAAGATGTGTTCCTGAATAAGAAAAGCAAGAGGGCTTTGACGTTTAGGGAAAATAATACCCGCAGACCAATGAAAAAGATAAGAGCAATCTAGCGCATTGGATAAAGAAAGTGAGACATGTATTGGAGAACATTCCCATATGAAAAGGAGGACAAGCATTGGAGAACGGATGGAGTATTATTAGTTGATTATTACTACGTATATATGAAACAACTACCTTTTATTTTAATTGTGTATACAATTATATATTTATTATTGTTATATGGTTGACCGGTTTTAGTGTTGACCGGGTTGACCCATGACCCAATCCCGCGGCTGGAACGCTTCCCGGTCCAGTTTTTTCCATCAAATCCAACTAATATATTAAATCAAAATAACGTTCGTCACATGACTGATAATGCAATCAAAGAAAAAGAAATAAACAAAACAATAAAAAGCCTTATGTCTCTCGTCCGCCCTTGAAACAGATTGAGAATCTATCACCTCTGTAGAAACAATAACATTCTCTGGTCCTGTAATGGGCTTAACTGAGCCAATGAGTGGCAAACCAGACTTCTCATCATCTAACCTAAATTCAAGAATTTCTCTGCTAAGAAATAAGAACACGCCCAAAACAACATGCATTTCGACAGAAAAAACACAAACAGAATAAAACGGAATTAAAATAGAGTTTAGTGCTATTAATTAATGTAATTTCCCGGTCCAGTTTCTTAAACATAGATTTTAGTGCTATTAATTAATGTAATCTCTCATAACGAAACTTAATTCACTTGCTGTCTACATCCATTCTTCAAAACGAGCACTCTGCAGCTCTGCTAATGCCATATACTCCGTATATTAGTTAAAAGTTCTTTTCTTGTTGCAAGCATATTTGTTATAAATGCAGTATATCTCTGAATTTAGGGATGAACTATACTCTGTATAACCTTACTAGCAATCTGTTAGCTACCATTTAGAGATTGATCCTCTGAAAAAAATAATTATCTATTTATGCCACATATAATTTTGTCATTTTAAGACAATTGCTTGTGACATCAATAAAAAAGCCCTCAATGTTTTTCAAACTTATGGGTATCGCGGACAATTTATCTTATAAATGACAATAGTTATTTGTGACACGGATCAAATGAGGCATATAAAGGATTAAAGGGTCCTCAACACATGGGGGCTTGTAAATCAAGATTTTCCAAATTATTATGCATTAAACTGTTTGTAAATTACTTGTAATTTAGCAGGTATATAGAAACATAATATCATCATAGATTCAAAATAAACTATATTTCTCATACAAATAATCATCAACTTTGATGTGTTATGTACTTATGTGTGATTATGTACTCAATTGTCATCTATTCAACTTAGGTATAAGATTTTGATATAGTATTATTAGTATGTCTGTATGTGTTTGTTGGATCACCAAAAAGTCAAGAACTACCACATAGCAAGCTGTCGATCAAGATTATATATCTTGCACAACCAACATCAATTAAGATTTTTAAAATATGTTTGTATTTAAAACATCAATTTTTAAAAACTAATTTGTAACTTCTCGTTTTGCAAGTTTTATAATTTTTTGAACACCTTATTTTTTTCATTTTTATAATATTAATGCTATTTTTACATATAACAGATTTTGTGTCTGAAGTAAGACCCTAAATAGATTTTTACATATAATTATATAGATTTTGCAGTATAAGTTAGTAGTCATATAATCCCTAAATAGAAGTAATTAAGACCCTGACTAAGTTCTAAAAAATTGAAATTCCAAAATATGGCACTACGTACTATTTTCTGAAAGTAGACTAAGTACTCTTAGCGCATGTTTGGTTGACATAAGTACGGAGTATCTACATTCTAATTTATGCACTATTTAAAAAGTCTTTAAAAGTTTCAATTCAATTGTATGTTTGGTAATGCCAATTTTTAAGAGCTTTAAAAAAAATTGAGATGCTACAATGAGTAGCATCCGAGAAAAGATTGTCGTTTTTACCATTAATTAGTTCCAACAGCTTGTATATACCAAATAAAACTAAATCTAACAGTCAAATTTGTATAAAAAAGCTACTACTTTTTCTTTTCAAAATCTTTTCAGTCACTAAAATCTAACAGTTAGGGAGGAAACGCATTGTTCATAATTTGAAAATTCACATTCTTTTACTTTCCTGTTTTGGAAAAATTCCCATAATTTGTTTGTATAGTACTATCCGTAAATGAATGCACGAGGCCTTAATTAGCCTATAAATCAGAGGTGAGAAGTGTAATTAAAGGCCATCATCTGCCTTCTTCATCACTCTCTTCATCAGCAAATTAGTGAGTTAAAGGAAGGGCATTCACATGGCAAACCTCACATACATTTGGTTTCTTTGTTTGATATTAACATTTCTGGGGAATGCTGGACTTCATCCACTCATGGCTTCTCATCACGTAAACAAAGATGTCTTGCCGTCTGTGACTGATGCAGAGTTTCAGCCTTACAGAACTGCATTTCATTTCCAGCCTCCCAAGAATTGGATGAATGGTACTAGTATTACACTAAATCCGTCCCGAAAAGAAGCTCTCACTTTGAATGTTCCAAAAAGAAATTCTCATTTCTATAAAAGGAAACAATTTTTATCTCAAAAGTCACAACTACCTTTACTTTTTACACATTTTTTGCTTGATTTGATATAAAGCGAGGGAAACTTGAAAAATAAAAACAAAACTCCACCTTACATAAATATATGTGTGTATGTCAAACCAGGAACTTCATTTCGAAACGGAGGGAGTGCAATTTTTCTCCCATTGCATGCTTTAATTTAATATTTGCGTACATTTTTACATTATACGGAGTAGTATAGTTCGATACACAAATAACAAATTTCAATTGATTATATCTATGGTGTTTAATTAATGAATGGTTTGCTCTGTTCTTTTCATGCACGTCGACTTGGACACACCCTAATGCATATCTACAGATCCTAATGGTGAGTTCCTTCAATCAATCAATCAATCTGCTTTGCTTCCTACCTCATCCGTTTCAAATTGATTTGTAAAATCAACTTTTTAAATCAAATAATCCCATTTTGTTCACTTAATTAGAATATCAATATTTAATTATATTCTAGTTTATATTTTTCAACTTTATAGAGATTTTATAGTAATTTCTAAATACGAAGTGTGTAAATTTTACTTATTAAAATTGAATTAAATTCAACGGGTAGCTAGAATTTTGGCCGGATATATTCATTATAGTATTTCTTTATATTGAGAATGATAACTAAACCATAGAAGTGAATACTAAAGATGTTTTCTTCTGGTCTGGTCTGGGACTGAAAACAGTCCAAAAGAAAACATCCTCTTATTAGATCAGTTTGAATTTTTTCAGTTTTTTCAGTTCGGATTCGTTACTTTTAACTTTCAGTTTTTCACAAACTATACTCGCATCATATGTTCGATCTTGTAGTATTTCCATCATTTTTTCTTTTTCTTTCATGCTACCAATTTTTTTTATAAACATGTCTAAAACAATGATAAAGTTTATAAATAAGATTATCATTATTTTATTCCCTAAGTTTATTTTGAATAATTTCTGGTCTGATGTTATCATAGAGACCAGACTTTATCCTAAAACATTGTTTCTAAAACAATGTTTTCTGGTCTGATCTCTGTATATTATGAATAATTTAGAAATGATCCTACATAATTTGCTGATAACATTGAACTTAGACAGCTGTCCTATTACAAGAATTGAAATTGGATTAGTGTACTGATTACAAGGATGAACATTATTTTAGAACAATATCAACCTTTTCTAAACATATTACTCCGTATTAAAAAAATATGAATACAATGTTTTCTATTGTTATTATGCAGCGCCAATGATTTACATGGGAATTTACCATTTGTTTTACCAGTACAATCCCGACGGTGCAGACTGGGGAAACATATCGTGGGGCCACGCAACTTCAACTGATCTTATCAACTGGTCCCACCAACCACTGGCCCTGGTTCCATCTGAGCCGTCCGATATCAACGGCTGCTGGTCCGGATCCGCAACCATTACCCAATACGGGTACCCACTGATTCTCTATACGGGCTGCGACGCCCAGAAAACCCAAGTCCAGAATCTCGCCTCCCCCTCAAACTTAACCGACCCGTATCTGATAGAGTGGGACAAGAACCCGAACAACCCGGTAATCTCACCCGCCACCGATAACATCAACGGCAGCGCGTTCAGAGACCCGAGCAGCGGATGGTTGACTCCGGAGAATCAATGGCGGGTCCTCGTCGGAAGCAAATCCGACCGCCGCGGGATGGCTCTTCTGTACAGAAGCTCCGACTTTGTGAATTGGGTCAAAGCAGAGAAGCCCTTCTTTTCATCCGAGAATACGGGCATGTGGGAGGCCCGGACTTTTTCCCGACGGATTTTCCAGACGAGGACTCGAAGTTCGTCCTTAAGGTCAGTTTGGATGACTGTAAACGGGACTACTACGCGATTGGGTCGTATGGGGGTCCGGAAGATGACGTGTTCATACCCGATGAGGGGTCTGTCGGGTTTGGGGATGAAAACACTGTTTGTTCGTCTCGATTGCTGATGTTTGACTATGGGAAGTATTACGCTTCTAAGTCATTCCTTATCGCCGGTTATACGCCCGAAAGCCGGAGGATCCTGTTCGGATGGGTCAATGAATCCACAGATGCGTCCATTTATACCGGGGCTGGGTGGGCGGGTCTCCAGGTACTACTCGAAAACGCATCCTAATCAAAAGCTTGAGTTTTTCCCTAAAATCTGCGGACAAAAAATTGGATTAAGAGCATCTTTGTTTATGAAGTGCTATTGGTAAATTAAGGAAATAATAAAGTTATACATTAGGAGGAAACCTAGATTTTAAGATGTATCAAAGTCAAATCGATCTATAAACTTGATGCAGGCCCGAAAAATGGCGACATGGTTATTGAAACAATGACAAGTACGAACCTATGAAAAAATGAATGATAGCACGATTTAGAGGATGTGTCCCTTGACTCCCTTCCTGAGGAAGGGTCTTGAAGTCTCACACTTGTAAATTAAGGAATAAAGTCTTATATTAAGATTATGAACTACTCCTCTTATCAGGATGACATTTTAGGATGAAAATCTACATTTTAATGGTATAAACTTTTTTTACAAACATGTAGTTTTTGACTTCCTGCATCGAATTGAGAAATAATCAAAATAAGTAAGATTGAAGTTACGTTCATTTTAGTTCGGATCTTAATATTGGACTGGCTTGGGATGGGCTTAACAATTTATTGGAGCAAATCTTAGAGATTCTTATATTAGATGTCTTCATATATTGTATGTCTTCAGGCAATTCCAAGGCAGGTATGGCTTGGTGCATCTAGAAAGCAATTGGTGCAATTGCCAGTAGAGGAAATAAAGCAGCTAAGAGAAAACCAAGTTAGCCTACCAAGTGCAATCCTACAAGCAGGGTCAGTTATTGAAGTTCCTGGTGTCATGGGCTCACAGGTAACAAACACCAACTTTATTCTCATGAAGAATTTGACTTCAATTCTTAACCAGCACTCGACTTTTCAGGCGGATGTTGAACTTGAATTCGGTGACCCAATGCTGGAGAAAGCAGAGGAGCTGAAACCCGAATGGACTACCGATCCACAAGAGCTGTGCAGCCAAATGGGTGCATCAGGTAGAGGCAGTCTTGGACCTTTCGGATTGCTAGTCCTGGCGTCACAGGACATTCAAGAATTCACAGCAGTTTTCTTCAGAATTTTCAAAAATGTGGACAAATACAAAGTTCTCATGTGCAGTGACCAAACCAGGTTTGATTTAATATAAAGAACTTGCCCTAAACAGGAGTAGACACGTTTGAGAATTCTAGAATATGAATGCTTTGTTTTCATTCCCTAAATATGAGTTATTACGGTTAAGCTAGAAAATATTGTCACTATTTCTTTTCTTGTGTCACTCTATGATAGCATGTTGTAATGTTTAAAGTCTAGTAATGCTAAAACATGTCATTAAGTTTTGAAGATGGAAGTAATGTGCTTTTATTTAGACAGAAAACTTAGCAGTCCTGTTTTGAAATTTTCAAACGTTTTACACATATTTCAGGAATTTCTTTAATTTATCGTCCATATTTTCAGTTCCATTTCTTTAGTCCATCATCAGCTAGCTGCACTCATTCTAAAAGCGCACCTACTACATGTACAGGTCTTCATCTAATCTGGATTATGACAAAACTACATATGCAGCCTTTTTGGATGCTGACCCTCTTGTGGAGAAGCTCTCTCTTAGATGTTTGGTAAGCTCAATAACATTTATTTTAACGTCATTTCCATCGGCACGATTTGTTATATGTAGGCTGATAATACTTCAGATTAGGGGTAGAATAAACCGGCTCAAAACCTGAAAACCAGACCAACCTAACTTTGTTCAGGTTTTATTTTTAATTTATTTCTCAATCTGGTTAAATTACCCAAAATAAACCCAATTTGTTCGGGTAATTTCCAAATCTTAAATATCGAAATCTTTAACCATACAATAGTCAATGTATGCTCTCTATATCTCACTTGCATTTTTTATAGATACATTTTTGACAATTTATATTTGCACTTTTTTCTTCAGATTGATCATTCAATTGTAGAGAGCTTTGGCGGAGGAGGGAAAGTTTGCATCACGTCTAGGGTTTATCCCTCCACTGCAATCGATACTGAGGCACATCTATATGCTTTCAACAATGGAACTGTGGACATAGGGATTTCTAGCTTGAATGCTTGGAGCATGAAGAAAGCAAATATCAACTGATTTACAATATCACCAACCAATGGGATTTATTTCCATTATTGTATCTTGTGATTTGAAATAAACAAATGAAAAATTGTGACCATGCATGAATTGGATAGAATTAATAACAATTTGAAATATAGTAGGGTTATGCATAACTAATCATCTCGAACTATATATAGTAAAAGGTTTGGTCTTAGACTCTTAGTAACACTCTAGGGGTCGGTCCATAAATTATATAGTCCCGACAGTATGGATGTTTTCTTTTGGACTGTTTTCAGTCTCAGATCAGACTTAAATAGATCAGACTAGATTTAAACAAACCAGTCCATACTTGGAGAGTTATAAAATACACAGACTAGATATTTACTAGACCAGTTAAGATCAAATTAGACCAGAACAGATCAGCAAATTACAATCTAAAAGAAATCATCCATATATGCGGAGTAAAATATATTACCCACAAAGATCTCATTCAAATGAATTACAAAGGTTTAATTGCTTAATCATTTAAACATAATTTAATACTACGTACACAAAGTTAGTTATGTAAATTTGTCAATAAAACATAAATAGAGTAAATTATAAAACACGAAAACCACACTTTTCTGAATTAAACTGACCAGTTAACCATTCAATAATATACACATAAAAGTATTCTACATGAGGAATTGAGGAGTCGCCTAGAAAATTAAAAAATTAAAATTATACATAAGAGAGATAACGAAAATTAACATTGATAAATAAAAATTAAAGTTGGGAATTCTTTTATTCCTTTCTCTAATTTTCCCTATGGACATGTACTAGTAGACTGGTAGTCTGAACTCTGAAGGCAAAAGGCTTGATATGTGGTGTAGTTTTCAAACCTAAATTCGAAGGAGTTTTGAAGAAAATTAGATAGCTTTGATTTTTAAGTTTTTATTTTTCGAAAATATGTAAATGTGTGTATATTTGCGCATGCGCCCGAAGTCCCTAACAATTGAACACGAATCATGAAAGTTTAAAAGCATATTTAACGAAAACTTCTATGAAAAAATAGAAATAATAATTCCAACTATTGCTGGTCCGTCGTTTATAATTCCAACAATAGGGACTATTTTCCAAAAACAGTCTCTAACCGGTTACAACCTGATATAGCAGGTCATTTTTAAATGTGAACTATGTGTAAGTAATCTCAAGTTTCTCAACTATAGTTGATCTTTTCTTATTAATCTCGACTATCAATTCTCAATTTTTTGAAGATGTAATAATATTTTTATAAATTTCCAAGCCAAATACTTTTAAATATGTTTAAACAACTAAAAAAATTAAATAAAATGTACCTAAGTTAAATGAAATATTTTTAGTAATTTTTTATTTATTTTCACTATTTTTTTTCCCTTTTTTCCAATTTGTTTTTTCCAGCTATGTTACCAATCTATGATTTTGTATTATTTTCCTTTATTCAAAATTAAATTTTCTATTTTCAAAAAGTAAATAATGTTTAAAATTTTATTTATTTTTTATGCTATCCTAATTCTGAAAACCTAAATGTTCTATTTTCCCATTTTAGTATTTCTAGTTTCTTTTTATTTTCCTTATTTTATATTATTATATTCTATAAATTATAGTATATAGTTTATCATTGCATTTTAGTGATTTGGGGTAGACGCTTGGGAGGTTTTGACTATTTATAATGAAAATGTATTAATATTATAATTTTAAGAGATATAATAAAAATTGTAAAAATGTAGAAAAAGTGTATCAAAATGGTAATAATAATCCCAACTATTTTGGCATGTAAAAACAAGTGTGGGCTTTTGGTAAACGTTTGGGTAAATATTTTTTTATCGTCATTTCAAGCTATTCACATTGGTAGATGTTAAAAATACTAAAATGAAATAAATAGATAATTTAGATGTTTAGATTTAGCTAGAATAAAGATCTAAATTGCAATTTTTTATCACAATTTACTCTTTGAAATTAGAAAATGTAAATTTGAATAAAGAAAAATAATACTAAATCATAATTTGATAACACAACTTTGAAAATCAAATTGGAAAACGGAAAAAATTAAATTTTAGTGAAAATAAATAATAAATGACTAAATGTTTTTTTAATTTAATTTTGCTACATTTGTAGAATATTCATTGGGGGGTTGCTGGGGGCAGGGAATGTCATGGCTGGGGTCAACAATGGTTTGGGACGGTGGCGGTCAATGGGTGTAATTAGTTGGGGGGCACTTAATAGGCGCAGACAACGATCATTGTGGTGGGTGTGGCAGGGTCACTATTGTCGAAGTCATGTATCATTGTGGCTGGAAGTATTGTGGCTGGAAGTATGACTAGAGTCGCTATGTCACTTTGCCAGAGTTAATGTTTAAATGTGGTTGGAGTAACAGTGTCACTAGATAAATGAAGTTGTGATGTTAGTCACATTTTGGAAAATTAAAAAAGGGCACTTTGTGTCTATTGTCCATTGATATTTATAATTTAAATAATAATACTACGTAATACAATGATATTGATAACGCTTATAACAACGATAATTGTAATTGTAAAAATAATGATAATGATATTATAAATATATATTTATAATTATAATTATAATCATAAATGTAATTATAGCTATATATGTTATAATTATATCTATAATTATAAATATAATTATAGTTATAACTATAGAGAGAAATCATCATGTCAGGCCGGCCTGACCGGGAGAGCTGTCCGGCCGAGCCCTTTTGGCGACCTTCCCGGTGGAATTTTTTGATGAAATTTTTTGAGCATGTTCCTCATCAAGTCTAGTTTGTCCATACCAAATTTCAGCTCAAAATTCGATCTGGAAGGCATTCACATCTTTTTTTGAAGTTGACTGCGTTTATATATGTATATTTTGACGCAGTCAACTTCAAAAAAATATTTGAATGCCTTCCCGATCGAATTTTGAGCTGAAATTTGGTATGGACAAACTAGACTTGATGAGAAACATGCTCAAAAATTTCATCAAACAATTCCACCGGGAAGGTGCCCAAACGGGCTCGGCCGGACGGAGGTTCCCGTCAGGCCGGCCTGACAAGAAGAGTTCTCTAACTATAGATATAATTATACTTATAGTTCAAATAGTAATAACCTAAATAATTTTAACAATAATAATAAAAAATCATTTAGATCGGATTTATTCAAATCGGATCAAACCAGTAAGATCCAAACCAAACAAAAAGATACAGATCAGATAAAAAATCAAATAAAAGAAATTCAAATTAGATCATAGCAGACAGATTCACACCAGATCAGAAAAGATTTAGTCAATTGGGACCAGATTTGAAAAAACTTAGATAAGACCAGTTCAAATCTTAAAAAGTTCATATACATCAAACATAGCAACTTATAAGTCTATTAAGTTACAACCAACTAAACAATGCGTAACTAAAATAAAACCAAATCATCTATTTCACAAAAACAAAATAATTAATTATCCCTTTCATCGAATTTAATCAAGTTAATTCAATTAAATGATCCTCCTCAACCAAAAAAAGTATTAGGATGTTTTCTTTTGGACTGTTTTCAATCCTGAATTAGATCAGACCAAATCAGACTTAAATAGATCAAACCAGACCAGACTTAAACAGACCAGACTTGGACAGTTATAAAAACACAGAGACCAGATGTTTACCAGACTAGACCAGACTAGTTCAGACCAAACATGACCAGACTTAAACAAACCAGATCAGACTAGACCAGCAAATTTCAATTCAAAAGAAAACATCCTTACCCCTTTAGTCTCATTTTCTAAATTGAAGTATTGAACATCATGACCTTTTACACTCTGACTTTGTTCCCTTGTACTTCCTCTGTGCCTTAAAGCTTTGTCATTTTCCATTTTGGGATATTCCAAAAAAACTTTGTCACTTTCCCTTTTCATCAACTTTTTTGTGGTTCCTGTTATTTATCTTTCATATGAGCATATCTCAATCACACAACTTTTACTTTGATATTCTTCTTGCCGTTCAAACTTGACAAAGTTTTAAGAGACGAAGAGAGTATATCGTTTCATTCTTTATTCTTTGTTACTCGTATTCTATTGGCTTAGATGTTAGAATCCTAAAACATTCCTTTATTCCTTGTTTTTTTTTTAAATTCTTTATTCTTTATTATAGTATTTGCGACTTTCACTTTAGGAGATCAGTGATGTCATCAGACTATTTAACATTACTTGTTTTTTTTTTTAATCCGTACCCATTTATACATGTACCAATTTGATATTCTGAGTCTTGATTACTAGAATCCGATTCATTATGTACAGTTTTGACTTTTTGACTAATTTTTGTTACTAAATGCCGATAGGAATGTGACACCAAGACCCCTCCCCTCGTTCTCCAAAGTTGGCTGTTTCTTTCCGCCGCTCTCTCAGCCTAAAACCAGTGCTATCCTGCGCCTTCCGACTTTGTCTGCCGACTGGTCACTGCTCGCCGGCCGCCGCTCCAGTCCTCGTCATTTTTTCCGGTCAGATATCTTTGATATACGGAGAACACCATTAATTTCAAGCGATTGGGTTGTTAAATTAGTTTACATGTGTTTGATTAAATTCCTGACATACTAGGCTACTAATTACAGGTAAAGACGTGATGATGTTCTTGATACAATTTTTTTTATATGTATTTATACATTGATAGAAGTTTAGTTTCTCTTATTTTTTGCAGTATCTAATAGTTAATAGTATGATCTTCCATCTTCATTCATTCATTCCATCTCTCTATCACAGTAGGCTGTTTTCACTTCCTCGGTTGGAATCATCCCTCCATGGCAGGTATCTCTTTGTTTTCCCTTTATGTATATAAGTGTGGGAGTTTTTTTTTGAATTCTGGTTAAGAATTTTCTTAAGGTTCATTTCACCCATTCTTCTTTAGTATCTATTGCATAGGTAGACATGTGTGTGGGATGTATTTCAGTAGTTCCATGACCTGCTTTTTATGAACATTTGCTGAATCTCTTACCATGTGTATTCACCTATGACAGAAAATGAAGCTTCAAATTCGGTAAAAGACCGTGCTTCAAGCGAGCTGAGCTCGATTACGAATGTCAAACGCTTGCATTTCTGGCTTCTACTATCCCTGAATGTGGTGTTCCTCTTGGTTGGTCAGGCTGCTGCTATCATTCTTGGGAGAATTTACTATGACAAAGGCGGGAACAGTACATGGTTGGCCACAATTATTCAGACAGCTGGGTTTCCTGTGCTTTTAATCCCTTATTTTCTTATTCCATCTCCCAAACAACACTCGGCTGATTCATCAAACCACCCCAAACCTCCACCATCCGCCATCAAGGTTGCTATGACCTACCTCTTGCTTGGTGCCCTCATTGCCGGGGACAACATGCTATATTCCATTTCACTTTTGTACCTATCCGCCTCAACTTATTCCCTTATTTGTGCAACACAACTAGTCTTCAATGCCATTTTCTCATTTTTCATCAATGGCCAAAAATTCACAGTGTTTATTTTTAACTCTGTGATTGTCCTCTCGTTAGCTGCGAGTATGCTTGCCATTGACGAGGACTCCGATAAACCTTTGGGCGTAACTAGGGGGAAATATATATTTGGAATTATTGCTGCTATCATAGCCTCTGCGTTGTACTCCCTCACACTCTCCTTGATGCAGCTTTCGTTTCAGAAAGTGATAAAGAGAGAAACTTTCCGTGTGGTTCTTGAAATGCAAATATTTACATCACTGGTAGCCACGGCAGTCTCCACCGCTGGGCTTTTTGTGAGTGGAGAATGGAGAACTTTGCCAGGAGAAATGCACAGTTTCACTTCAGGAAAAGCTGCGTATGTGCAGGTGTTAGTGTGGACAGGCGTGGGGTGGCAGATATGCGCGGTTGGTGTTGTGGGCTTGATTTTTGTGGTGTCCTCACTCTTCTCAAATGTTATTAGTACTCTTTCTCTAGCTGTCACTCCTGCTGCTTCGGTGATCATCCTGCACGATAAGATGAGCGGTATCAAAATCATTGCCTTGCTAATGTCAATGTGGGGTTTCACAACTTACATATATCAGAATTACCTGGATGATTTGAAGGAAAGGAAATCACGCATTGATTCGAGTAATAATAATGTTCCTAATGATACCCGTTGTTAATCATAGTTGGATGCATCAGACCTTTCACAATAAAGGATCAAGTTTCACATAAGATAAGCAAGTTACCTTTGACAAACAAATTATTTTTATTGTCCTCCTTGAAGTGTAAAGTGTACCCTCCCAGCCCAGGCCAAGTATGTGGAGTCCTTTGATTTTGGAAGGAATTCCTCCGTGCGTTATTCAAGTTCACATGACTTTGGTCCATATGATTTATTCAAATTCGTTATGTTAAGTGTGATTGTTTTATTTTGTTTTATTTACTAAGTTATAGATTTATGGTCTGACGTTTTTGCTATTCAAGTCTTGGAAATAATAAAACATAGAAGTCATTTAGATTTTATATGAGTAAATCTCAACATCTAGATTTTTAAATTAGTAGTTGATTATTAAAAAAGTGAGTAGGTTAAATCAGGTTATTCACGTATATTTTGATTTTAACTTACTTTTCATGACATTAATCTCCCCTCATTGAGATATTAGCTTTTATTTTACTTCAAATCTGTATTTCCATTGAAAATTTGATCAACTTGAATCCTTTTTTTATAAAGGGTAATGATATATATCATCCAAAGAGTTTTTTTGATAAAACAAAAAAGGGACAAAAATGGGGCTATCCCAAGTCCCAACAAGGGATAATCCATCACCTCAAACCTATACAATCACGCCCAAACACAAAAGAAAGATGATGGGCTAACACACGACATCAAAGTCAAAAAGTGATAAGCTCATGGGGGTAAATATTATAAAGGATCTTATACGCCATGTATTTGATCCTAGCAAACACATCGTCCGCTTTAGTTTTGGCACCATCAATTCTGGTTGCATTTCACACCCTCCATAGCCAATATACGGTGTAGATGAAAGCAACCCGAACTATTTTGGCCTTGATCCCCGCTCCTCCACGATCCTTCTTGATACACTTAACCGAGCTATCCAGCGTAGACATTTGTCTAGGCATTCAAATCCATGCTCTAACTCTACTCCAAACAACACCTGTAAATTGACAAGCAAAAAACAGGTGTGGTAGGTACCGTCTTGTTCACCCTTGCAAAATGGACATATGTTAATCGATTTAAGCCTACTAAGATTATCATACGTTGCAAGGCAGTTGCAGAAGACAAGGCAAGCAATGAATGAGAACTTAGGTGGTATGTGTAGGCCTTCCAAATAAAGGGCATCCAAACATGCTTAGTTCCAATTATTCTAATCAAGGCATAAACCTTAGAAGAACACAATTTACCATTGATAGTAAGAAGGGAAAGACCATCAATTGTGCTCTCAATAGAATCAATTGTGCTTTTTCATAAGTTGGGATTCCCTATTGTGTGTGGGGGGAAATCCCACACACTCCTGCCTTTAAGATAAACCCCATTTACTCACTTCACCCAAAGAGTATCCCTCTTTAGATGTATATCCCATAGGTGGCTAGTGTGTCTTATACCCTAGCCACCTTCCTCCTTTGGGAAACATATTTGCCCAAGCAACTCTGGCAAATTTGCATCCCCCAAAGAAAATACGACAAAGTGAGACTACCTTGTCCAGTATGGCTTGTGGTATAGGGAACACTTGTAGCCAAAAAGAATGGACACCCTGGATAACAGATTTAATCAATTCAGTTCTACCTATATAAGACAAGGTTTTAGTGTTCCAAGAATTAAGATAATTTGAGACTTTCTCCGGAAGGGGGCATATTGGGCCACATATAACTTAAGAGGGGAGGGGGGGGACCCCAAGGTATTTGACAGAGAAGGCTTCAACTTTGAAGTCAACCAGGTCAAGTATAACCGAGAGATCATTATCCATAACCCCACCCAAAAAAAATGTTTGATTTGTCAAAGTTGACCCTTAAGCCCGAAACATTTCCAAACTCATTCAGTGCATCAACCAAAATTTTGATAGAGTAAGAGGCTGTTTGGAGCACCCAAAATGGGCTGATAAGCCTGAATGTATAAAACAAAACACCAAACACTTGCTCAATTGGCTGTTTGGGCTGATTTTTCTTATCAGCCTAAAAAACAACAACCTACTTACTTTTTCAGCTGTTTTGTATTTTTGTACTGTGGATAACCGAAAAGACTCTTTTACCTTCTATACCTAAAGTAAACGTTGTTTTCATATCTGGAGTCACATAGTCATCTGCCGCAGTGCCGCTCCATTAGTTTTGAAAACTTGCTTGGGTGCTCCAGATCAAAAGCTTCGTGGTCTGGTAGACAAGTAGTGGTAAATACTTTATTTTTTTGGATTTAATTAAAATTCTAAGAAACTACAATAACTACTTTATGTGTATTTTTGTTTCATTTTATTTTAATTTAAGTGCATGTGAGCTTTTTAATACTCTGAATATTTTATTGAAATTTGAAAGTGTATTTTTTAAATTAATTTACTCATAAGTTAATTAAGCAGCCTAATTATAACCTAATCAAGCAAAATTAATTTACTAATGAAGTTTACACTCATTTATCTAACACAAACAAGCTAATACCCTTTATAGTAATTTTACACACAATCAGCCATTTCAGCCAACATATTACCAAACACTTTCACTTCAGCACATAAAGTCTTTTCAGCCTTTTCAGCCAATACAGCCGTTGCAGCCGTTGCCAAACAGGCCCTAAGTGTCCTCTACAAAACAACATGAGATCATCAACACAGGCAAGATGTGATACATTTACACTACCACACTTAGGATGGTAGTTGAAATCAGAAGTGGCTTTCAAGTTTTGGTAGTTTAAACATTCCAAACAGAGGACAAACAACAGATGGGACATAGGATCCCCTTGTCTTAATACCCTCTTCCCCCAGAAGAATCCATGTAATGCCCCATTAAGAGAAATGGAAAATGAAGCACTAGAAACACATTCCATTATCGATTTAACAAATTGCAAATGGAAACCAATGTTAAGGAGGACACTATTAAGAAAGTCCCAAAAGATGGTGTCATAGGCTTTCTTGAGGTCTACTTTTATCATACACCTAGGGGAGCAATGCTTTCTAGTGTAACCCTTAACAAACTCTTGTGTCAAGAAAATCTTATCCATCATAAGTCTACCATTAACAAAGGCTCCCTGGGCAGGGTCAATCAGACCAGGTAGACATGGAATCATTCTATTAGCAATGATCTTTGTGATAACCTTGTAAATCACATTGGTACAAACAATTGGTCTTAAATTAGCAACCGTGGGGGAGTGTGAGGTCTTAGGAATTAAAGCAATAATTGTATGGTTGATTTGCTTCAAGATCCTACCAGAATCAAAGAAACCTTTCATAACTTCAATGACATCATCTTCAACAACATGCCAATTCTCTCTGAAAAGTGCCAAAGTAAACCCATCTAGTCCAGGGGCCTTGTCATTCCCTATATCGAACATAGCATTCTTGATCTCTATATCTAAGATGGGAGCAACCAGCCCTAAAGCTTGACCCGTAGTTAGACATGTCCCGGATGAAATGGTGCTAGGTTCAATTGGATGAAAACTTACCAGAGTACATACCGGTATACAACTGGTTTGGGACAAAAAATGCAGCTAGTAGATAAAAGTTGGATTTTTTAAGATTATAATTACTAGGGACCGTTTTTAGAATTCCAGTTAAAGGTCAATTTACTACAATCAATTTTTCCAAAAAAGTATGTAAAGTCCTTATTTGTTTTTGCCTTTTTGGCTCTTTTGCGCTCTTTCTTCGAATTTTAATACAATTCCAAGAGGACCCTCGAGCGGTACAATAGTTCTCGATCTGCTAATTCTGTGGAAAAACATATAAATTCTAGGAAAAAGGTGCAAATAGGCCCATGTACTAACCAAAAAAGGTCAAATAAGCCCTTATTTAGGAGGCTCTGTCCGGCCGTCGTCATTTGGGGTGATTCCCGGTGGAATTTTTTGATGATATTTTTAGAGCATCTTATTCATCAAGTATAGTTTACTCATACCAAATTTCAGCTAAAACTTCAATCGGGGAGACATTCAAATGAATTCTTGAAGATAATTGCTCTTCTAACTGCGCAGTTATTTTCAAGAATTCATTTGAATGCCTTCCCGATTGAAGTTTTAGCTGAAATTTGGTATGAGTAAACTAGACTTGATGAATAAGATGCTAAAAAAATTTCATCAAAATATTCCACCGGGAACCACCCTAAATGGCGACGACCGGACAGAACCTCCTAAATAAGGGCTTATTTGACATTTTTTGGTTAGTACATGGGCCTATTTGCACCTTTTCCCATCCCTAAATTCTATTTCGTCATCTGAAGATAATGAACCATAAAGGGATTGAGCCGGATTGAGCTTTGTATCTTGACTCTCGTCAAGTCTCTAAACTCAGAAGTTGCTTGTGTTTCTTCCCCTATGAATATTTTCCTTCTAAACTTGCAAATTAGCATGAAATGAGTATATAATGTCATAATTACTATGGTGTAAACCTAAATACACTTATGATCACTCAAGTCACTATATAGTCATTAAAATATAAAAAGTCACAATATTTCTCTCTATTTTAATTTTAGTCCTACAATTGTCATTATTTCAATTTTACGCTGTCTTACGAATTTAAGTCACTTCCTCCCTTTCATAAATCCCAATAATATCCTCTCTCACACCCCACCCGTTCCCAGTCTTTTCTTCCACTTCTATAAATTCCAAATCGCACCGCTAGATTATATTGCAGCAGTGGAAAACGATAAGTGGCTTCTCCTCTTTCTAACGTGTGTCCTCTTATTTTCCTCTACCCCATCCTTACTCTATGTCCCCCGTCTAATCCAAATTCCTAATGTAGGTGCCAAACCTGATCACTCTAGTAATGAAGGATATTTGTAATGACCGAAGCTCAATCACATCAGTAAAAGCTGGGAATTATAATGATTCTTCTTATCAGAAATCCACATCGAAAACTATGATGTTGCCCTTTCCTCTTCTTCTCCCTCTGTCCCGATCGGGAGACTTCTCAAATTTCTCGTGCGATGAGCTAGGGTTGCAATAATTATGTGACACGAACAACAATTATCTTGAAATTCCAGGTATTCCTCCTTATCATTATGTTTCTAATTCTAGAGACTACAATTGATTGCTTGTGTTACTTGAGATGACAATTTTCTACTATTAGATTTGACGTTTGGCTTCATTCTCTTTTCATCCTTTTATGAAAAATTATTTTCAATTTCTCCAATCTTATTAGAATTTACTTTTGAAAATGTTGTATTTTCAATGGGAAACATTTAATTGAAGATTGTGTTCTCATTTCTTAGGTTCTATTCTTTTGCATTTCAATCTACAAATGGCATAGTTTGATTTGAAAATACCCGAATTTGATCTAAAAGTTTTTTTTTGTTTGTTTCGATATATAATGTCATGATTTTGATTTTGGGAATTCCATGCACCCTTTTACTTTATATTATTGTTGAGGTTTATTCCTCAAAGTCCAAAGGCCCAACACGTTCCTTTGACTGTCGTTGGAATGTTGTGATCAAGGTAAAAAGGATAAAAATGGACAACAAGAAGGCACAAATAACCAACTATATTACGGAGAATATGCTGATTTCCCAATAACCGCTGAACGGGAACTTCGGTCTAAGGCAGAATTACAGGCTAATACAAGGGCAAGAGAGTAGCAAAATGTTGTGAGTATTGCTAACCCTTTACCATGAAACAAATGTTGGTTTTTATACTATGAATTAGTAGTTGAAGAGGGTGACATGACGAAGCCTGAGTGGATACCCCTTCAACCATAAAATCCTCCAAATCTCTTGTAATAAATGCGATTCCTGTATATTGTGAGGCTTCTCGCCAGCTTCCTTGGCAGGTTTCGCGCTGGTTAGCTTCCCATGATGGGGAAGTGGCCCAAGTGTGCCAATCGGGCCGCACGGCTGTAGCCGTGCAGCATATCACGTCATTCACGTGCAGCCCTTCCCGAACTAGACTTCCCGTATGTTGAATTCCTTGGAGTGGGCCTTTTCGGGATATTTGAACCTGTGTTTGGATCGGGATCCAATATCCCAACAATTATACTACAATTATAAAATAATTATTATGCCAACTTACGTCCAAAAAGCGTACTCATTTTTGAAATATGATCCTCTATTTGAGAAAAGACGTGAAGGATTAAGTATAGAAGTCTAACATGTGTGTAGGGATGAAAGTTTCGAAAGTTTTCCACACCGGACAAAACGAGAGATGTTCTCCTCCAGTCCTCTTACATTCCTATATAAAGAGCCCTTGGATTAAAAATTGAAATAGGTGGCTAAGGCTCTGCCTCACTGCCACTGTTTCGTCAAGTTTTCGAAGTTTATTTCGGTTTTTATCAAACTGAAAAACCGACACGAAAAATCGGTACCCGAAAAATTGTGTTCCGATAATACACGGTTCGGTTTCGGGTGTGAGATTTTGAGAAACCGAGTTTTCGGTTCGGTTCGAAATGTTTCTATTTATATATGTGTGTGCTCTCTAAAGGAAGTACTCCCTCCGTCCCTGAATGTTGTTCCGATTGCGGATTACGAAGGTTGACCGACGATAAAGTTAAATGATCCCTGTGAAAACTCGGATTATTTTTAGTAAATAAAATTTACATATTCAGAAACTACATTAAACCCGCTACAAAGCCTGCACAAAAAAAATCAATTTTCATTAAGTTTTGATACAAAAAGTAAGAGTTTAAGAGTGATTTAAGTTGACTCTCGAAAAGCGAAATGGAAGTAAATTTAGGGACAGAGGGAGTAACTATTTATATATTAAATCCAATTGTTAATAATGTTTGTGATTTAGAAACAAATTACTCTACTTCAACAATTGATTATAGAAAATCAATTATATTTTTAATCAGTTGTACAAAGAATCTTTGTATTAATGCTGATTTTATTAAGCGTTTTCCTAATGCAAAGAAAATCGAATTGTTTGTAGTGAAATACAGTGAATTCTTAAATACGGAGTAATTAAAATTTGGTGGAATATCCTCTCTAGATTTTAAAAACCACCAAATTACTGACAAACAGCGTAAATTCTGATTTCTCATTTGCTCATTTTCTGGACGCGCGTAGACACTCTCTCCGGCGGCAACATCCTCCGTCTCCGCCGAATAGAAGCTAGGGTTTCAGAGATCGCCGCCATATCTCCTCTCCCTCCTCGAAACCTTATATAAAACCTAGTCAGTTAGGACCATGATACTTTTGCCTCTTTCTGATTCATGTATTTTTGCTCTAGGGATACAAAAAACTATTTTGAAAGGTGCCGAATAGCAAATAGCTTAATTGAAGGTGAATTTAGAGGTGTAGTGTATTTTCTATTCATTTTCAGGAAAAGGGAAAAAAGGAAGTGAGGCAGAAATGATGGATTATGGGGCAGCCGAACAAGTAGGCGCCGTGTTTTACGGCGACGATCAAGAGGAAGATGAACTTCAGTATGAGGAAGAAAACCAAACACAGCACTATTCAGTAGCTGGAGGAGATCCGGGGTTGCCCCGCCCAACTCTCTGCTTTGATGATAGCGCTCCAAACCAAGAACTGAAGCATTCAACCGATGATTCCTCTTGTTCAGCTGGGTATGTTTGGTACTTCCTTTTTATTTAAGCTTGTTAAATTCTGTGTTTCAACTTCACTTTTCAATGCAGCAGTAGTGGCGGAAGAAGTTTCAAAGTGTCATGCTCCTTGTTTTTGTTTTTCAAATCCGTGTGTTATCCATGAGGAGTGGTTTCATCATGTGATGGCTAGTTTGATTTCTCTTATATGTATGCAAAATATGAAGATATAAATGGTTCTTGTTGAATATTGTAGCAAGTGTTGGGTTTCTTATTTGTGGAAAGAACTTTAGTGCTCCAAGCTGAACTTTCAAAATCATAATCTTTCCACTTGTTTGCTACTTTGATTGCTTCTTTTTAAAAATTATCTTATATGAGAAGTAAGAATAAATATGTGGTAAACATTTAACTAACCATTGTTTTTTTTTTTTTACATAGAAAGCTCTTTGTTGGAGGAATTGCTTGGGAAACATCCGAAGGTATTCTCTTCCATGTATTTTTATCTGCATTGGCAGGTTATGTGTAGATGTGGATGGATGCTTTGTTCTTTCATTACTTATAGGAATCAAATGTTCTTGATTTATTTGGCAAACAATTTTTGTTCTACTGTGACAATTATTGTTATAGGTACTGTTTTTCTAGAGTATCCACAAAGTTTCTGTCTTTCCAAATTCTAATGTAAATACTTAGTATTTTATTTGCTTCACTTTACCTTGAGTGTGCAAATGCACTTCTTTTACATTAGTCTTTGATGTTTACATAATTTCTAAATGTGATACTTTTGTAAGGCCGAACTAATATCATCTGAAGTTCTGATTGTCACATTGCAACCTGATAATAAATTTGATGGATAGTTAATTAGTAGTTAGTCTGTAGTCATCTTTGAACGGATGCCTGAGAAAGAATTTGCTGATAAAAGATAATCAATGTTTTTCCTTATGATGGTAGATTGAGGTGGTGAAAAAAGTGTTGAGGTTTAAGTGTCAATTGATTGAACTGAGTTGTAAACCTCATGTGTTTGTGTTGTTTTGTGAGGCATTGTCCTCAAGGCGTTTTTGTTATGCTCAAGTCACATTTTCTGTTTTTAAGTTTTATGTTGGCTTTTTATTTTTAATTAATAATGGTATTGGGCCTATCGTTTTTTCGTGCTTAGTCAGCAAGCCTGTTAAAGCCCTAAAATCTATTTTATGAAATTAACTCCTATTTTGACAGTCCTACTTATAAAGTTCATTTGTTTCTCATAAACTACGAACTCACCTGCACTCCTGCAAAGTGCAACATTTCTTGCAGAGCTACTGAGCTGCTACTGCTATTCTCCTCTTATTTTCATGCCTGCAAGGTTCTAACAAGCTAAACAACTCCGACTACTTTTTTTTCTTTTTTTGTTCAAAGTTCAAAGAATATCAGCAGAGTTAACCAAAACCTCTTTATATTTGTTTTGTTTTTCTTCAAATCGCTTATGGTTGATGTTTTGCGATTTGAAGAGTTATTTCTCCAGCTATTTCTCCTCTGCTTTCTCATCTGAACAACTTTTTCTGATTTTTTAGGACAAACAATCTAATGAAATGGAAGAGTTAAAACTACACTAGTGTCTTCTGACACTTATAATGACTGGTTTCCTATGTAGGTTTTGATGTTCGGTAAAACTTTATTTCGTTTGTTACTTTGATTTGTGAAAGAAGATCTATATAAAGTGAGGCTTAAGCTTCAAATTGCCTTGAGACATGCAGTTAGGCTTACGCACTTGCACCTCACCTCACAGTTGCATAATGCCTCAAAGCTTAAACTCAGTTTAAAACATTGATTATATAATTATATTATAACTGGGGTAGATTTATTTTGGTCACGCAGGTACACTTCTCTATTTGTGAGTAGGTCAGTTTTTTAAATGTATTTGCAAGTAGCGCTACTGGTACTCAGTGATACTGTTGCAGATGTAAAATTTATCTAGATAACACTCATGTCAATTGAAATTGTTTGAGATATGGACTAAACCCAGGATACCCAGCAATTTTCATCTGCATCTAAACTTAAATCAAGCAAGATAACGAAAAGAACAATAAAGAAATTGACTTTTAGGTTCCTATAAGAGGTAAAGGAATAAATCAAATCAGTAGATTGAGGGTGTGATATATTCATTATTATATTTGCTCTGATCTGAGATTGTTTTCATACATTTGTCACAATATCTTGCTCAGAGTGCTTTTTATGTCAGTTTATCCACCACATAAAATAAATTTCTTTCCCAGTCTCATTGTATTTGGTGGCTTCCAGAAACTTTTAGCAGGTACTTTAGCAAGTATGGAGAACTAGTTGATTCTATAATAATGATGGATAAGTTATCGGGAAGACCGCGAGGTTTTGGATTTGTTACATTTGTTGACGCAGAGGTTGCAAATAGGGTTCTAAAAGAAGAACATGTAATAGATGGTCGAGTGGTAGGCTTCAACTTTTGATAAAACTAACATATAGCCTACCCTCGTTGATAGCTTTCCATCTTCTCAGAGTTTTTTTACTTCTTTATTTGTGAGTAGGTGGAAGTAAAGAGAACGGTACCTAGGGAGGACATGCCACTTAGAGGAGGCTCTAAAACAAAGAAAATATTTATTGGTGGTATTCCGCTCTCTTTAAATGAAGGTAAAGGCTGCATGTCTGTATCTATTTTTTGTCTTGAAGTTAGTTATGGTCATACCGTATATAAATTAACCAACTTAAGTTATTTCAGATGGATTGAAGGAATATTTCTCATCATATGGCAATATTATTGAGTGTCAAATTATGGTTGATCACAATACTGGTCGGCCCAGAGGCTTTGGTTTCATAACGTTTGATAATGAAGGTGCTGTTGAAAAGGCTCTATCTGATGGGCACATGCATGAAATTAGTGGAAAACAAGTGAGTAATAGTTTTTTTTTAATTTTAGTTTGCCAGAATTTTCTCAACCTCAGTGACAATTGAGAGAGAAATTGTAACTTCATATTATTAGTTCCATATATCTGTTTGTCTTTTTCCGGAAAAGGAATGAATGAAAAAACCCTTTCATACATTGTATCTCAGGTTGAAATTAAGAGGGCCGAGCCTAAAGGAGCTGGTGGTAATCATCCAAGTGAGAGTAGAACGCGTCGTGGTGGGAATAGTTCAAAATCGTATGGCAATTTTAACAATGTCGCAGAGGAATATGGCATTGGGTATGGTGGAAAAATGGGAAATGCTTACGGTGGGTATGGAGGCTATGGTGCTTATGGCAACTATGTGGGGAATTATGGAATGAACTCTGCAGGAATGTATGGTGCATATGGAGGATATGGGTATGGGTTTGGATTTGGTGGGGCTATGTATGGTGCTATGGGATATGGAGGGAACCCCTATGGGACTTCTGGTAATTATGCTGGCTCCAGTGGGTATGCTGGTGGTAGTGGTAAGGGATATGGCAGTGGTGGTGATGGCAGTTTTGGAAGTGGCAGGGGAGGGGGATATGGAAACAGTGGCGCTGGAGGAGGGAGGTTTCATCCTTACAAGAAGTGAGATATTGAACCCTTTTTGACGTTTTTCTTCTTATTTATTTTAATTGTGTTTTAGATGAAAGTACTTTTGTTCTCAACAACTAACCAGTTGTGTAGATGTATTAGTTGTCTTGATTATTTCGCTATATACTGCATTGTACCGTTGAACAAACCCAACTGCTTTGTTAGATCCTTTGTGGTTTCTTGGATTGGCATATTGTGGAGACCCCTAATTCCTCATTGCAGGTATGTTAGGCATGGCCACAGATAGTTGAGACTTGAGAGCATGCAATATTCTCATAGAATTGTGTATAGCCAACTCTGAGTCTTCTTTAGAACCAATTCTTGTTGTATTTACATACATTATTTCTGGTAGCTGACTGAAAAAAGATGTAGCATTTCTGGTGTATGTGTTGGGTTGATCATGGCAGTGAATCTGTGTTCATGTATGACGTTTTGTGTGTTATTAGCTCTGACTATGCTAGGAGTAGGGAGAAAGGGCATCTTGTCTCTTTTTAAATAAAACAGTCCAATAATTAAAACAGAATAGCAATGTAATAAACAAATTTGTTAAATTTTACATATCTAGGTGTTCATCCTATAAAACTATGAATTTACAAATTTTTGGAAGATAAGGGAGGGGCTTGCCTTGAGAGACCAAGACACATTGTGCAGACTACAGACTAAAATATCAAAGAAAAAGGGAATGGTCAAAGAAGGGAAATAGGGGTATACTTTGCGATAAGCTACAGTTTTTTGAACAACTCTTATGATACATCTCCAAAGTCTAGTTGCAGTCTTGCAGAAGAGATGTATCTATCTTAAGCTGTTTGCTCATGCATAAACATGACAATCTACTTGAGGTTTGTGCAGCTCTCACTCGTGACTAACAATCATCTTGCGACACCATTATATAAACAGTCTGTAGGATGAATTCATACAATGATACAACCAAGCACTTGACTACACTGTTTGGAAATCCAATCTCAAAATAGAGTTATCGACCTCTTCTTGCACGTGATTTGAAAATCTAGCACTGGTTTGTGCTGCTCTTGCTCGTGATTTTGACTTGCAAGTCTCCAATTGATTGGTTAGTTATTTAGTATAGCTTTGATCATCTCTCATTTTACAAATTAGAAAAAAGAAGCAATACACAGTAGCTCGCTCATTGGTTGATGCGGAGTGAGTAACATGTCAGCAATCACTTATGTGTCCACCGACTCAAAGTCTCAAATGCTAGTTGTCTAGCCTTGATCTTTTTCACTCTGGACCAATGCAAGTTTGTTTTGGTAGTACAACAAGTCAACAACACTTCATATTTTGTCTAATCGGGGTTTTTGTGAACTTACAAAGCATATTGGTAACATGGATTACCATTTTGTTCGAGATGAGATTCTTTACAGTAATATTTATACTTGTGTATCGAATCTATCAAAACTGGCCAATACACAAGAAGTCACTTAGCAAGAAACATTAGTTCAAGTTTTCATTATCCAAGTTGGAAATTTCTATATCACATTTCTAACTTCAAGGTTTGTATACATCACTTCTCTCCAGTATAGTCTAGATTTGTAGTAGTTTATATGCTTTGGCTTGTTTTACATAATGTGTCAAGAGCTTTATTTATAGATGCAGGGGAAACTCTTTATATCCTCATTACATAGGAACTTACAGCTTTCCAAGACCATATATATTCTCTATTCTTGAAATCTATAAAATGCACATGACTTATAAACTTTAGCAAAATGCACAATTCTATTAGTATTCCTCTCGTAGAGTTATATACCTTCTTTAAAAAATGGAGGCATCTGCCCCTACGACATTTCAGAGAAAGAGGAGGGGAGTAATATATAGTAATACAGAGGAAGAGATGAGGATTTATAGATGGATTATTAAGATCAGAGATTCTATTCTTTATAGAGGAAGAGATGAGGATATATAGATGAATTATTTAGATCAGAGATTCTATTCTTTATATAGAATATATTACACTCATGTAGTGGAGGAGTACACCACTAACACCTGCAGGCAGAGAACAAATGAGCTTTGATCCACCTGAAAGAGCCCTTCACCTTCCCGTCCTTAGCGAAAGCCCGGTAACTCTCAACTCTCTTTTTCCTCTGCTCTTCTGCTTCACGAAAGCTCTGAGACGATAACGGTGATACGACGACTTTGCTCTTGCTTCTCTTCGCTGTATTCCTTTTCACTTTGTCATTCTCATTGTTGTTATTAGCAGCATAAGATGAAGTGCTGTAACTTCTGAAATCATTCATGCTGCTTGTTGGGGGGAAACCACTAGGCTGCCGCCAGTTGCCCCCTTCTCTTGTTGATTTAGACCTCAAATTCTCCATCAATGATAATAACAAGAATGATATAATTTTTTTTGTTGAGTTGGAGATTAGAAACCGGAAAACTACTATTTAAACTACTGAGGATGCAGACAGTACTCCGTATGTTCTTAGGACTTCATTTCTACTCCTTTTTACTACTTTGTACAGTAATTATTGGTATGTTTGAAATACATGGCATAAAAGAAGTGGGAGAAACGAAAGATGATACTTTTCTAAAAAGCAGTTTAGCCTTTTAGGGGCAATATCATGGAACATGTTTACATTTAAAGTGGAGCCCTGTAGAGGAGTGGTTAATTTGTTTGCAACAAATTTCTGATTGACTTAACAATTGTTATTTAAATGTAGTTGAGATTTGGATTAAAATAAGTAAAACAACATTCGAAAAGAAAATACAAAAAATAAATTTGGACAGAGGGGCATATGTATATGAAGTATATGTATAATCTTTTTAGTTTCTTTATTTTTAAATAGGGGTATATTTCACATATGTAGAAGCGGTAGGCGAATAAACTAAGAATGAAAAGTTAGATAAAGGGTAAGGATTAACATTATAGCATAGCGGAAGATTTAATGGTATATTGGCATCTTATAATCATCATTATCATCATATCTTTAATTAATTGGTATATACGATCAATCAAGGATCAGATCTTAGAGCATCTTCAATGCTAAAACGTTAACGGTGCATACGTGACATGAGAAACAACCAATTTAAAATCAATAAATAGAATATTCCTCTCTTTATTGGAAGGGTCTTACATCATTTTGGTAAGTTTTTCTAAATAATGTCAAGCACAATGTATAAATGTAGACATTGTGGTTGACATTGCAGACACAAACTTACCAAAAACGCATAAGATCGTGGAAAGAAGGAGAGAGAAATGTCATAAAATCAATATTTTGTGTCTATCTCTCTCATGTCACATGTGCACCGTGCACATTATAGCATTAAAGATGCTTTTAACAATGTGATAAAAGTCTGGGAAAAGGTGCAAATAGGCCCATGTACTAACCGAAAAAGGTCAAATAAGCCCTTATTTAGGAGACTCTGTCCGGTCATCGTCATTTGGGGTGGTTCCCGGTGGAATTTTTTGATGAAATTTTTTGAGCATCTTATTCATCAAGTCTAGTTTACTCATACCAAATTTCAGCTAAAACTTCAATCGGGAAGGCATTCAAATGAATTATTGAAAATAACTGCGCTTCTAACTGCATAGTTATTTTCAAGAAATACATATAGAGATAAAATGAAAAATGAAAATGTAAAGAAAATGGAGGAAGAAGCTTCTTTCGAAACAATGGTGGAGTCTCAATTAAGACGCTAGGTAGCCCTAAGCCCCTAAGAATAAATAGCCTGTTTCGTAACAATTTAACTTCCTTTAATTATATCGTTCAGTAATTATTATTAGTTGATTGAGAAGTCAAAAGCAAAAAAGAAAAGTTAAAGTAAAACTTTTCCTATAGGGTCATGTTATGCACGAAAACATGTAGTTAAATTATCGCTTTAGTTTCTCTTTACAATGAAGAAAGAGAACGAGGCCAGTTGAAAAATAATAATTTTCTAACATTCATTAAAAATTAACACTAACTAAAGAAAACATAGAATCACTTCGATATTAAAAAAATGTCACAATTAACATATTACCACGTAATATACACTCTCTATGATAGTATTGGTAGTAGTAAAGTGTGTCTTTTAGCTTTTCTACTATTTAAAAAGTTTTTAAAAGCTTCTATTTGTATGTTTGACATGACAATAATTAAGAGTTTTTTAAAAAATAAAAGCTCTTTTTTTGAGATGCTACAAGGAGTAGCATCTGAGAAAAGTGTGTGGCTTTTAGCATTAATTAATCTAAACAGCTTGAATTGTATATCAAACATGCTAAATGAAACAGTCATTTTTTTAACAAAAAACTATTACCTTTTTTAAAGATCTTTTCAGTCACTAAAAGCTAACAGTTACAAAAAGCTCACAAAAGTATCTTTTCAGCTAGTTGTACCAAACATATCCTAAACCGACTACCGAATATTAAATATTAATTACTCCGTATAAGTGGTATAACATTAATATATGAATTAGTAATATTGATTTACGACATGTTAGTAGTGCATTAGATTCTTTTCTTGGGCAGCTCTACCGTGCATTCACATTTTGGTATGTTTCGGTGCCTCTTACAAATGGACAAATGAAATCATGACATGTCATTTAATGAGGCATTATCATCTTTATTAACATTTTTCTTCTCCTTTCTTTTATGCTCCGTATTACTTTTTACCAATTTACATATTAGTTCTCACATTTTAATATCTTTGTTTTGTACCCATATTTATTACATCCTTATATTTTAAACGTCTTTATTTTGTACTTCATTTTAAATTATTTCCTTTTTATTTTCCACAAGTTTCTTCTCGTTGTTTTTTAAAAGAGGGCGTAAATTCAATTTTCAAATGGAAACATGTACCAAACAATTTTTGTTCAACGTGACTTTGAGTTCTTTTTTTTTGGCTAAGTTTTGTTGTTGAAGTATCTGTGGCGGTTCATATGTTAAATATTATTTTAAGAGCCTATTTAGTAACACCGAAATGTGATCATTTTTACAAAAAGACCATGATGTGATTAAGAAAGTCACATATTTGGAATAATATTATGTCACTATTATATATCAATATTAGATTTTTATGTCATTATTATATGTCATTACCAGATTTTTATGTCGTTTTTACTATGAAAAATGTCAATACGACCGTTGGAAAAAAATCGACAACCTTTTCCAGTGGAACTTTACACCACCACCGGCAGTGACTCGTTGTCGCCTTATAGAGACCAATCGCTCGTCAGTGACACCTCAGACTTTCGTGTTACTTATGAATGTCACTGTCGCCGTGAACTATGTCATAGTGATCCCTGGAGAATTTTTCGGTGACTTTTTCCGGTAACACTGTGACAATCCAACATCACTGGTAACCACCTCTTCAGCACCGCCACTGCTGTCTCCCGGTAGATCGCCTGCCCCAACACCCCAAACCTAAACCCAGTGGCCACCATCCAGCCCAGGTGCCGCTACTACCCCGCACTGCGCACTCCGCAGCCTCAGCCCTAACCCCCTCCCCTACCCTGCCACAACCCTTATAAGTTCGTATTTCAACACGCATTTGATGTGTGTTTGGATTGAGTTTTGTCACCTTTCCTAATATTATTTGAGTCAAAGCGTTTAATTAGCTCAAGTCACGGTTTATCGAATTTGGTTTGCAATTGTTGTATTTAGAAGCAAAAATCAGGAATTTGAACCGGACATTGGCGTTAAAAGTTAACTTGAGAGGATTTGGGACCCTTTCTAGAGATGAACTCTATTACGTTTTCTGAGAGCTTTTCAAGCCTTGTTCATCAAGATTGTGAGATTCTTTGTAAGTTCTAACTTTTTAATTAATGATAATTAATTTTTTTCGTCCCAATCTATTGATTGCTCAGTCATGAATTATGAGTAGTTTTAATTAGGGATTTGGGATTGATGAAGGTATTAATTATAATCTACGGTTAAATTCTTGAGAGATTAATTGCATGATCTTTATTTAATTTGTGTTTGAATATTTTAATTGATATCTCTTGAATATTCATCAGCGTTTCTCAATTAAATAATTTTCATGTGATTATGCCTGATCAGCCTTGAAATCTGGTTACCCCAAAATCAACACATGTTCCCTTACGTTATTAATTAGAAATAATCATTTAGTTTAATATTTTATTCGGATTTTAATATTTCAACAATCCAAATTTCGCAAGCCGTGCGCAGCTTGCAAGCGTGAAGCGGCCTACAACAACTTTTCAATGGATAAGGATTACTGGTAGTAGGAATCATTGAGACCTCTCTCTAGGGTGGATTTCCGCCACTAGAGTTTTCTTCTCCGCTATCGATTCTTTCGAGGAGCGGTCGTCTTCCCTACATCTTGTTAGTGTTTTTTTGTTTCTGCCGATCGAGTTTCGTTCGTCGTCTGAGTTTTTCGTGGAACGAGTGCTTCACGCGGCTTTTCTCTTTGGAGTTTCGGAACGTCCAGATTGGATTTTTATGCGCGAAGAAACACAAGACAATATGACAGAGTTTTCTTCTGCACCTTGGACATGGGTTTCAATGGCAAATATCAACGAGCGAATTGGCAAGAGCAAATTGGCGATCGCAAGAAGAATAGGGATTCAAATGAATTTTCCAGGGGGTTTAAATTCTTTTCTACCATACTACAGCAGCTTGCCCTCCTCCGGAATCACCTCCAAGCTAGAAAGAAATTTGGGGAAAATTTTTATTCTCGTATTATTTTTCCTTTTGTAGTACTTATTGTTATTTCAGTTTGAGCATGTGTGGTTGGAGTATTTTGATTTTTGAAGAACTTTTGATAGGCAGTACTGCATTTTCGATCATTTTAGGCTTCTTTTTGACCTTTTTGTGTCTAGCGAGTCAGGGCTTATGATCGGATCTGTAATAGCTGTCTGGATTTTGTCTTGCATGTTTGCTTTATATTAATGAAAAGCCGTTGTGATGATCAAAACAATCCAAATTTCGCACAATTGCATTTATTTTATTTTATTTTAATCATTTAAACTAGTTAATTCCCGATTCCCTTTCTCCGTCTCTGTGGAGATGATACTCGTACTCTTACCCTATATTACTACATCTTTTTAAGTGTCAGAAAACTCACATCAAGCCCCCATCCCTAGCACCCTTCCAGCGGCCAGCCACCTATTCAGCAAACATTCCCAACCCTAGCCCCTCCCCAACCGCCGCACCACCAACCGTAACTCTAGCTACCGCCCATCGCTAAACCCATCGCTGAACCATAGACGTATCTGTCGAAAATTTGGATTGAATTTTTTACTCTCTTTTTTGTCCACGCGAATCTTGATCATATTTTTGTCCAAGGAAAGTTGTGAAGTAATATTTATGTCATTCTTTAAAAACGTTATGCTATTCTTTTGACAAATCACTGGTAGACGACGAGTCACTGAGAACTAGTCAATGAATATGTCATTTATTTGAAATTTTTTAGAATATGTCATATTCTTATTTTTTGAATTTAATTTAGTAATATTCATGAGAAAAGACTTATATATAAAGATAGGTGATTTAGTTTCAAAAGAAATACATTAATTAATGGCACAAAATGTATAATTATATACATTTAACTAATGGAAAACTCAAATAAGAAAGTCAATCTTTTTTCTTTTATATTTATTTTAGTAAAAGATAAAGGTAAGAAATTAAACTAAAAATCATTTTGGACCTTGTATACTGAATCTTGTGTGAGACTTTTTGTGTACAAGATACAATTGGTTTTAAATGCACAGTTACATATTGGTCGAACATTATGTTATATTGTTATGGTCCGGATTGCAATTTGTAGTACTTACGTACTTCGTATATTACTAAACTAAAAGTCGTTATTAGTGTATCCTTTTATTATAGGGACTAGATTGCAATTTAGGTTAAACATTAACGATGCTAATTGCTAAACTCTTATCTACACCACGTGGAGGGTTGCACCGGAACATACCATATTGTGAAGGAACCGTAAAATTTTCCTCTTTTCTTTTCTAAAAGCCGTGTTTAGTGGCGAACTGGCAATTCAGACATTCTTAAAGTTAAGGAATTACGGAATATTAATTACTATTTACTAGTATTGGTTTTACAAATCCTACGCAATTCATACTGACTAAGATGATGGGTCGAGGACGTCTCCATTGCACGGGTTTTCCATCTTCACTTAAACTCATATCAATCTTATCAAATTAAGCTTAAATAATCTAGTTAGACCCCATTAAACGGAAGTAAATTAGGCATAATCATACGTGGGACCTAGTTCTTAAGGGACTTAATTTATTGTTGGTTCAAATGGGTGTTTCTTGTGATATGTGGCAGAAATGGACCTCTCAATTTTTTTACTAGGTGTATTTATTCCAAAATTTTAATACATATATATATATAGACTATATATATATATATATATATATATATATATATATATATATATATATATATATATATATATATATATATATATATATATATATATATATATATAGACAAATGTTCAGGTCAGGAGTTCCTGACCGGAACCGCCGTCCGGACCGCGGCGTTTGGCCGCCTTCCGGGTGGAATTTTTTGATGAAATTTTTATCACATGTTCTCCATCAAGTCTAGTTTATTCACAAAAAATTTCAGCCAAAAACTCAATCGGGAAGGTCGTCAAATAATTTTTTCAAGTTAACTGGTCCAGAATATGTATTTTCCGGACCAGTTAACTTGCAAAAATCATTTGACGACCTTCCCGATTGAGTTTTTGGCTGAATTTTTTTGTGGATAAACTAGACTTGATGGAGAACATGTCATAAAAATTTCATCAAAAAAAACCACCGGGAAGGCGGCCAAATGCCGCGGTCCGGACGACGGTTCCGGTCAGGAACTCCTGACCGGATCATTACTCTCTCTCTCTCTCTCTCTCTCTCTCTCTCTCTCTCTCTCTATATATATATATATATATATATATATATATATATACTCCCTCCGTTTCAAAATAAACTGCACAGTCAAACTTTTTGGGTCAAACTTGTTAAACTTTGATCGCTTATTACTCAAAATTAATAATATTTTATCCCAAAAAAATTATATAATGTGCTTCATTGTAATATGTATTTTTCAAATGTCAATTTATTATAGACTTTATATGCATATATTAATAGGAAATTACGGTCAAACGTCCGCCTAAGAGACCGCAAAAGTCAAACTGTGAGGTTTATTTTGAAACGGAGGGAGTATATATATATACACACACGTAATATATATTTGTAATTTAGTACGTGAAATTTGTGAAGCACAAATCCCGAGCCCCCGAGAGATGGTACAATTGGTGAAGTTATGAATGAAAAAGATACCTCAAGAAACCGGTCGGGGTTAATTTAAGACATTTAGCTTAGTTATGAATGAAAATTGTCGCTCTTTGGATTGGTCTTAAAATTTATAAAAAGTTCACATAAGGGAATATATGTTAGTAAATCTATAAGAAAGCTATTTTTACTTTAAAATTTGTGTTTAGCAAAACATCAAACAATCTAAAAAATACCATAGAGACCGGTTAAATAGTTTTCATATAAAGCTCAAGTGAATCTAAAAATAAATCAGTGAAGGCATTAAAATTGAGGTACATTTGGACATTTGGTCTAAAATGTTTTTGTGGTAATAAAAATTCAAGATGTGAAGATATTTCTGAAAGTCCGAATGCATGTTAATTGAATTGTTTGTATAATATACACTACAAAAAAAACACGGGATTGGCAGGGATTTTGGCACGGATTTGGCACAAATTTTGGCAGGGATATGCCAAATCCGTGCCAAAAACACTTTGGCACGTGCTATTTGGCACGAAAAATTGATAAGTCCGTACCAAATTTCGTGCCAATCCTGCCTTTTTTTGGAGTGATATTGATAGCAAAAATTGAAGAGGCAAATATATAGGAATTGTTCTCAATTTAATTAACATATCATTATGGTAATGCGTTAATTTAATTTGTATGTAATTTAACGTATACGATTGAAAACTATGTCTAAATAATGTAAATGTAAAAGTCCAAATCTTTCAAAAAAAAATGCAAGTCCAAATGCGAAAAAGGAAATTAAACGTCAACCCATTTTAGGGGGAAGAGGAAGAAGAGGACGAGAAGCAATATAACAAAGAATTAATTTCAGGGTCTGCCTCAAAATAATAATCACCACCAACTGGGGCACCGCCGGCAAAGTTCACAGCGCTGCCGGAAGCTGAAGACAACGGCGGCGACCACATTTGTGGCTGTTGGAGCATGGTGTTGCCGCCACCGCCAATCATGAGCTTCCTCTTCATTTTGTAGTTAACCTTGAAACAAGCCTGCCTAAGCTTTTTAGTTGTGTCTTCCATCTCTATGTCAGGACAGTCTCTTATCTCCTTCATTTGCTTCTCCAGCAACTTTACAACTTCCCTCACCTTCCCATCTTCTTCTTCTTTCCCAAACTCCTTTGAACATTAATTCATTGTCAGTGACAAAACATAGGAAATTGATCAAAAGGAGTACTACAACACACACAAATTATTTTTATTTAAAATATGACTTATTCTGTTGTAGTAAAATAAAAATGAAAAATAATTAAAAATCTCTTTAGTGTTATAAATGGCTTGGTACTTTAGAACCTCACTACTTTAAAACGAGTCCACAAGTAAAAGCTTCATGCCCTACTTATAAGCGCACACTATCTCATGTGCGAGCGACGTGAAAACTTAATTCATGTTCACAACGCACCCTCTCATCGCAAGCATTATATTGTCTTAATAACGTGTTTTTGTTAAAAACAACTTGTAGATATTGTCTGTTTTGAAATTTAAGGGTCTCACGGCCTTAAAACGCAACCACAAGCACAGGATCAAGGTCTTGCTTATAAGCACGCACACTATCTTGCGTTTGGATATTAGTGTTTTATCCAAAACGCCATTCTTTTTGCACATGAAACACTTCTAATTGTAGTGTTTGAAGGAGATAAATCGCTAAAAAGAAAACGCCCCCATTGTATCACTTTACCCCCTCAGACAATAAGGATGTTTTCTATTGGACTGTTTTCAGTTCCAGACCAGACCGGATCAGACCAGACCAGACCAGATCAGACTTGACTTGACTTCTGTAGACCATATGTTTACCAGACCAGATCGACCAGATCAGACCAGCAAATTTCAGTCCAAAAGAAAACATCCTAAGACATCTACCATGCCGCATTAAAAATTAAAATGAGGTTATCGTACCTAATTATTATGTTTAAACTATATAATTAGAGTATTAATTATAATGGATGGAAATTGTACCGTACCACAAAATTTACCATATGATGAATGAGAAGTCGTAAATGATGTTACATACTCATATATCCGTATTATAAAGTTTCACTAAATTTAATTAATTAAACTACATGTTGGGGAATGCAAGTGTCCGTACGTACAATAGTTATAGGGAAGCAAAACCAATATATAAATGCAATTAATAATTACGTTACCTCCATAACTCCATTACTAATTATTACGAGTGATAATAGTTACAAGTATACTTAGTACTCCGTAACTACTAACTAGTAAGGACTGAGGGAGGGGGTGTGAATATAGGAAAAATCTATTTCGATCTACACGTTTTTTAATTTGTACCTTTTTTGCACATGTCTATATTTTATTTGTATACACGTCCATTGGTAACTCATACGAAGTATTAAGACGGTACACATACAATTCGAGCATCTAAATGAGCACCTACAACCGTGGCAGACTTAGTAGGGCCGACTTACGTCGTGACTGATCGCAAATTTAAAAATTCTCTTGATTTTTAATGTAAAAAATTTCGTGTAAATTTATTCTTAAAAATAATCTTTATATTGATCGGTCCCGGTCTTTGACCCGACTCTGCCCTTGCCCAGGACGTGTACACTAAAAATGGTCTATGAACATAACATGCATAAATGGCTAACCTTAACATTGGCAATTAAGGTTTGGAGACTGATCAGCTTCCGATGAGGCCAACGCCGAATTCCCAATTCCCGACACCTCTTTTTCAGCAACGTCAGCCCAACATTTAGTTCCTTCGCTGCCTTTGTGATTGGCATATGAAAGTAGTTTGAGATCTTTTCTCTGCAAAGCATTTTTGAACTACAAATGAATTTGTTCTTCTTATTGCTTCCATTTTCCACACTAATAACCTTCATCTTCTTAATCTTCCCTCCAACAATATTATTATTATAGTTAATATCACTTTTGTTATTGCAAGTATTACGACTACTATTCTCTTCCTTCTCCTCATCTTCATAAGTATTTCTCTTGTTTGTCATCTCAACGTTATGATTAGTAATACTACCGTATCCAGCGCTCAATAACATCATATTCTGCTCCTCCTCTCCTCCAAACGGATTATTATATCCCAAATCTCCATGGGATAGTGGACCACCTACGAATTGAAATACACATACAAAAGTTATAGAAAATTAACAAAAAATAAAATGGTATTATTGATTAGTCCTATTTAGAGTACACTATTTGTAGTGATACTTTCTTTAATTAATGTTAACATACTTAATCATACTCTAGACATTTCACAATACTTTTCTTGCGCATTTCATTATAGTCTTAACAAATAGAACGAACAACTACTTAATTACCTTCAAGCACGCTCCTGGTTTGTGTTGGATTAACAATATCAAACGGTGAAATGACGTGATCATTGAACAAAAGCATGTCCATATTGGGAAAAGAGTATCCATCAATAAAAGAGGTCTGAAAATCATCACTTTGCATGGGAAAATAGTGAAAGTAGTTATCTCCATCGCAGTTATCCAACTCAAAGTTTTCCGGCAAGCCGCTTCTCTCCGCTGGTGGCGGCTGCAGCGGCGGGAGAAATGGGTAATGATAGGATGAATGGTGCAAGTCGTTTTCTACGGCATTTCCCATTGCGTAGTGACAAACAATTCCCACAATAATTCTCTAGGAATAAAGCGAGATTGAAGGGTGGAAATACTTAGTCCGGCCTATATATTGTACGGAGTAGATGGGAATAGAGATGTGTGTAAGTGAGATAATTAGACAATTTATTGCAATGGAAATAGGAAAATTGGTTAATTTGTAAACGTCACTTTGTACATGCTCTATGTACATAGCCCCATATTTTGTTTATGCACAAACAATTTTTGTTGTTCTATCACAGCCAAAATATTTTTGTCTATGACACAAACAAAAACAATTTCTTGTTCAGACAAAAAACCGGTGTGCACAAGAAGCAAAATTATGAAAATAGTGGGGTCTATTCAATATTGATATTGGATTAATCCATGATGCGTCTCTTTTATTTAAAAAAAAATGTTCAGAATATAGGAGTATAAAACATAGGCAAAATTGATCGAGTAATTACATTTTCTTTCCAAAATACTGCATATAACTTAACTAGTCCTCTACATAATAAAAGAACAAAAACTTTCCAAAATAAAAGTTCATGAGTCTTATTTTCATAATAAAACGTGATTACTCATATTTAGAGAATTCACTCGCCTTTTGTGTGTACATACACACTGATTTGGACGTATATCTAATCAGGACGAATAGTCTTAATAATGTGGGGTTAAAAAATACTCCCTACTAAATTTAAGCCACACCAGGGTTGGAAAAAAATGAAAAAGTTACTCCGTATTATAATAATAAAAATAAAATAAACATGTTATTGTTAGTGATCGACTTCCCAGTTGAAGTAGAGCACGCAAGATATTGATGCATACATAAATATGCCTATACGTTCATCATTGGTTATTAATGAGTAATTAGTGCAGTTAAACCACTACAAGTGGAAACATGAGTTACATCCTGAAATAAATGCAGTAGTAATTGATACCATAATGCGAAGTATTTTTTTTGCGTAGTTCAGTAATTATTTTGTCTATTGGTTTTAGTACGGTGGATAATTTTCTGCAAAAAGCTAGTTCGTTTCATTTCTAGGATTTCAGTGGCACGTTTATACATGGATATATAAATGGATAACTATTGTACAGTTGAAACGCCAAACCTGGCACATTTTAAATATTTGGTGTCGTCACATACAGATTCTCAACTTATAAAAATTAATTAATGAAGTGATTAAGATTAGTGCCTTAGTCGTGCTACAATAGCTGGGATAGAGAGTTATAGATCATGCTTTTAAGTAGTACTCTGTAGTAGGGATGACAATTGTGATCGATCCAATGGATGCCCTCATTGTGATCAAAACGGGGAAACCCGCATTGACTGGATAACGGATACTGGGTGTGGAATACCCGTTTTGTTTTTACATGTAACAGGACGGTTACGGGTTTATACATGTCCGCCCCATAACTTGCCCCGGCCCGTACCTGCCCCGTTTATTTTAAATTACACGGAGTATTTTTATTACATTTTTATCTATTAGTATATGATGACCCTTAGCTAAAAAAAAGATGAGATATTTCTCTTTCTATTGTGTAGATATATGGATAAGGGATGCACTAACTATAGTAGGTGTATGAATGATAGTTCCTAATAGATTTTAATAGTCTTGTTTGATTATTATTATATTTTTCCGTGATTAATTATTTTTCAGATTAAAAACATACTACCTCCGTCCCACTAAGATTTGGACAAGAGAACGAAGGTGACACAATTATAATGAAATGCGACAATCTTTTAAAAAGGATTATTTTTCAGATTAAAAACATACTACCTCCGTCCCACAGTCAGATTAAAAATGACAATTTCCCGAAAAGATAAAATGAGACAATCTTAGCAGGACGGGGGGAGTAATTTACTAAACAAGTAATTGATATTTTAATATGATAACTAATATTTTAAAAGGCAAAAAATGACATCGCCTAGACGACTTTAGACGTCACATGCCACTTAAGAGTTTTGTATATCTACAAGACGAGAAAGAAAGCAACATAGATTTTAATATAATAGTCTTGTGTGATTATTATCATATTTTTTCGTGATTTAATTATTAAAATATCAATGACTCGTTTAGTAAAGCGATTACCCACAGTTATACCCTTTACTCGTTTGGGTGGTTATGCTTTGGGATGGAGGAGGCAGGGGGCCCTTGGAAGAGTGTCCGCCCGGTGTTTCCACTCCTTGATGGATCGGAGGAGGGGGCCCGTGGAAGAGTATCTGCCCAGTGCGGCTGCTGATCGTAAGGAACCTGTCGAAGTTTTGAGGAGAAATCTTGAAGAAATAGTGGAAGAGGTCCAAGATCAGAACCACACCCCTTGAAGTATACCGCACTATGAAGACGGCCACCAACCGGTACGAATTCGGCATGAACCGAGCAGGGACCACCTAATAGCGTTGGAAGAGTTGGATGAAGAAGGGATGGAGCGGAAAACAGAGTCCAACTATCACACAATCCAGATGGACCATAATCATGCCCGAGCGGTGTCTCATCGGATGTGTGGCCTCGCGCAGGCTATACACGACCGGTGGCGATAGGTAGATGGGGATCAGATCCATGGCATGATCAGAGAAGTAGTGTTTGCAGCCCTGACCATTGTTCAGAAGAACCTCATGACGAGGTAGATCAAATGGGCGGCCTGCATAAAAAATCGCAACATCATCACGAGAAAAAGCTTCATCCTCGGAATCAAATTCTCCGTCCGAGGGGCCTGGGCATGCTCCACTTCTTCACCAGAGGGATTATCGGATTCATCAGAAGGTCGGGGATCCAATCTACTTTCTCAGAAATCAGATATAAGAAGAGGGAAGATTCGAGGGAAGAAGAGTACTTTTTTCGAGTGGCGAAGGTAGAGCAGAAGGCAACTTCTTGGCATAGAGAAGAGTGGCGACAACTAGAGAGAAGGGAGGCTAAATTCAGAAACCCTTAACCTTCTCATAAAGTGGGTATTTATAGCAGAAGCTACCACCGCCAGATGGCCCATTCAGCAGGCAACACATGGCAAGGAGTCTACCCCAAGATATGTGTCACGTGGAGGTGAGCAGTCAGGTAATCATTACGGTTATCTGGGGAATTGAACCGCCCGTCGAAAAACCATCACCTAAAATCTCGGGATTGGTCTTCCTACTTCCTTATGTCCCGCGCATGTTTGGAACATCATAAGTGGGGGGGCCTGTGTTGGAATAATTGGTCCAATACCCTGTAACGAATTGACACCATAAATTGCCAAGGCCCATAGCCCGAGCGGCATGCCCCCACACGACCTTGTCCCCATTTAATGCACCAAATACACAAGATTTGGTGGTTGGGGGATTAACCATTCGTAATTCTCTACATCACCACTACTATCTACCACATGATAGTATAAATAGTACTCCCCCCGTCCTTTATTAAACTTCCAAATAGGTTTGATACACAGTTTAAGATAGTGGGTATTATGTGGTGGAGAGTTGTGCAGAGGAGAGAGAAATGTGTAAGAATTGTTGTGAACCACAAATTCTGGCCAAAAAGGGAAAGTGGAAATTTTAATTGGGACGGACGAAAAAGAAAAGTTGGAAGTTTATTTAGGTACGGAGGGAGTAACATTTATTTCATTGTAAGGGGTTGACAATTTGTACCCACTAGCTTTAGCTTTCTATTCTCTTGCATTCTCAGCTTAGAATAGAGCATTTGCCCTCATGCTCAGTTGGGTGTGCTATAATTGTTCTTGATCGTTTAATAGAACTCGGTCCACTTACTCGACCTCAGTAAGGTGAGATAGTATAATTCTTTGTTCTCGCTAACATACTTGTGCCCTCATAAGCACACTAATCACTAAAACATTCATCGAAACCCAAAGGAACGTGTTGGGCCCTAGAAATCGAAGGAATAAACCTCAACACATACGAAAGCCTAGGAGATTATGTTAGATCTTTCGACTTCCTGGAAAAAACATCAATACCTATTATTTTTCGCTTAAATATTACATATAGTTCATATGAGTATATGACAAATTGTATTGTGACAAACATTTCATTAATATTATTTTTGTAGTCCTTCCTTTGTATGTCCCCACAGCCCCACATAGGACTCACGGCAAAAGAATGCAACAGACCGCACCAAATCTCTACTCTCGAATGGATAGCTCTGAAGACGTCAGCAACTTGGGGCAATAAGGTTTGTCGCTCCCTTTCACCATTTCCGTACGCTTCCGGAAGCCATCAGGTACTACTAGTCCACTACTCTGCCTACCGGA